TGATGGGGGAGATTGAACTCATACAGGAGAATCCCCAAAAATTTCAAGTTAGAATGCATTTGAGTTCATGACAGGATTGTAAAATTGCATAAATTTTACGGGTAAGTTACCGGTGACAGTAACATATAATTTTAATCTGAAAGTCTTCGCGTTCGTGTTTTATGTATTACCATCAAAATTCACGGTAACTTACCACGGCAACTTACCACCACAACCCTGGTTCATGGCGGCACCATAATTTTGCCCAAGATCATTGAAAATTTTACTAATGAAGTCATAGACATTCATTAAGTAAAAATGACTCATAATTTTGCCATCGACTATCGCCATGTTGGCTTAATGCCGACCCAGCTCCGAAGTATTCCGACCCAGAATTTGATCAACGAATGCGGGCTGTCGTCAGGCAGATTGAACATTTCATATTTTTGATGATTTAATACGTAGTCAAAGAAAGCCTGCGTTCTCTTCAAAATATGGGCTTTAAAAGCTAAGGTATTGTCAATCTGCTTGATTTCTATTGACGGCAGCTCATGTGATTTTTGATTTTTGACAAAAAACTTAGATAACATACCAAGAATTCTACAAATGTCGATTTCTGAAAATGTATTTGTTTTTTCTCAATTTACCAAAAGCGCTTTCGTTGGTACTGACTTCCTCACGTTTGTGAATTATCTAGAAGTGTCACATCTCCACTCAAGTCGAACGTCTTAACATTTCTTTTCTTGACGATGCCATTATAAAAGCACGTAAATACCGAGATACTTCACTTAATTCTACCACAACTATCAGTCCTTCCGCATCCAATTCACAAGACTCCATTCAACGAGGTGACGTTATTGAATTTTATGGACCGGCCAGTGGTGGGAAAACTACTATTTTATATCATATAGCTCTTACCACTATCCTTCCACCAAGTTGGAACCGAACTTATGAAAATTTGGATTTATATGATATTGCCGACGTTAATGCAACAATCGAATTGAATGGACGTGGAAAAGGAGTTATTTTCTTTGATTTGGATGGAAAATTCGACATTCAACGTTTATATTCAATGATGATATATTATTTACATAGACGAGTGAAAACAACATTGAAAGAAGATATAAATCTGATTCCATCTGAAAGTGAGATTGAATCAATCGCGAAAAATGCGCTAAAAAGAATTCATGTTTTCAAACCAAATTTACCCGAGAGTTTTTATGCGACTTTACTTGATTTGCCAAAATATATGAAGGAATTACAACAGAGCGAAAGTTACGAGTTCTCCTTCTTGATGATTGATCAAATTAACACGTTTTATTGGGAAGATAAAGATTACGATGAGGTTGGTATAATTGCAAATGACACATGGAAAAATAATAATGTTCATTATTATGTTCAAGCATTGAAGCAGATAATAGAGTTAACGGGAGTAACCGTTATAACTACAAATTGGGCAATTACACCACCAGAGGCTGTTGATCGAATTCCACTCAACTTATGCTATCCGGTTGTCGCACATGTAGCCTGGCAGTCGTTTGTTAAATATAGATTTGTGGTAGATAGACAATCAGTTCCTCAGTATAATGTTTGTCCAGAAGAGGCACATAATTTGAAAGTAAATTTCTTGTCGAGATCACTTTTTTATGGGAGATTAACTACACCTAATAACAATCCCAGTGATATTGACGTATTTCAATTTGGTATTGATGAAGGAGGAATTGTATTTAAATAAAATTTTTAGAGACTCAATAATTGCGGATAAGAAATAGCTTATAAGTTATCGGCCGGTGATCATAAATAGGGTCGTTTATAGTAATGATACGTGTTAGATAATGTCTGCTTCAATTAGTATCGGCTACAGTTCTCGTTAAAATAAATAAAAATTTTGTATTTATTACAACTGGTGATATTATGGTTTATTATGTGGCAATGACAGTAGCGAGTAACAGAATTATATCCTTTAAAAACATATTTGGTTAAAATCGCGCCATACGCGTTCCGAAATAATACAGCATATGTACTTTGGTTCTAAGAATTGACCCTTTATTTTGAAATAACATGAATGTATAAAAATTGAAATGAGAAAATCCAAGGTTTTTTGATTCTTGCTAGTAAATTTTTTTTATTACCGTCGGTGGCTCACTTTCTGAAATCAAAATTAACATATTACAATTAGGGTTGTAAACTTACATGACTTTGAAAATTTTGACTAAGTAAACATATAAAAATTGCTTGTAAGTTAAAAATTTGTAAATTTACAACCATAATTACAATTATACTAAATTATATGACCTATCGCTACGTACGTGTAGCGACACGTAATAATTTATATAAATTAGCCAATTTCCATAAATAGAATTGATTATCACATTCTTTCACACATATATGTATTATTAAGGTTTCGCTTTCTTTATATTTCAGTATTTCAATTAGAAGGGATAAAAAATGGCGGATGATTTGCTGGCTTCCAACTTGTTCTCTTTGAGAGGCAAGGTTGTATTGATTACAGGTGATGAAAGAGGAATCAATAAAATGATAGTCAAGGGCGCTCGTACGGAATGGAACTTGAGTTTATTTTACTTCTAGAAAAAAAGAAATTCTCGATATTGGGTTAGTTTATTGACCTTTATGCAATATGACTTTTGCGTTACACATTTTTTCACCTAAAGTTGCTGCCGAGCTAAATGCATTGGGTCCGGGAGAGTGTTTTGGAATTGAAACGGATTTCAACTCTAGGGAAGCTTGTGAGAGACTTGCAAAAAAGGAAAATTTGATATTCTAGTAATTAATTCTGGGACAGTTTTTGATGGAACATTATTCGATTTTCCTGAAGAATAGTAGGACAATATTTACAATTGAATGTTAAAAGTGTATTTATCTGACGATCGCGTGAGTTTTTATAATTTCTGGATGTATCGCTATTATTAAGTCTTACGGAATATCAGATGTTTTTCATTGCTAGAAAAGGCATTTCGGATAAATCATATCGATCGTTTTTAATTTTTACCGTTACATATTTCATTCATAATTCACAAACCCAATATTAATTAACTTGCCTAAATTAGGTGTAGGCGAAGGTGATCTCAGAAGGATAGTTGAGCTAAACGAGTTATCTCGGTGGTTTATAATACTGTAATATAAGCCGCAGTCCACAGTATTACAGTTCATTTTACGTACGTACTGTACGTATGTACGTTAGTCATGTAAAATATAGGTAATGGAATACAGTATTGTTAATCCACATATATTCGTGGTGTCGATGTTAATGCGATCGCTTCCGGAGTGATTTTCACCAATATGATGTCTGATAAAGAAACTCAAGCTTGTATTTCGGAAGTTCCACCAGGTAAATAAATTTTATTTTTAATATAGGCATTTTTGTTTAATAATTTAAACGATTGCAGGATCAGCATTGTTCCTAGCTTCACATGCTGGTAGTTTGGTATCTGGTATTATTATACCTGTGGATGGTGAGACGATGTGATCCACTTAAATCACGTGCTATTAAACAGTTGATAAAGATTATTTACCCTAGTGTTTCGACCGAAACTGATCCAGTTATAATAAATTTATATAGTATTGATATATGGATCATGACCCATATAATAAACCTATATAATAAATTTACTATGACCGAGTCAGTTTTGTCAACCCCATTGTAGGTTTTGGAAGGTAAGTATGCAAAATGTGTAGTATAAAAATAAGCAAAGAAAGTTTTAAACCAGCTGCTGTTTTCAAATGTTCAGAATCTAGATTTGATAAACAAATATACTGTATATTTTTTTAAGTAAGTGATTCTAGAAAACCTATTAACATTGTAGCTGGTTTTTTTGATTTCATTATCACATGAAAGCTTGAGTTTGTTAAACAAGATGTACGTATGAATTCAATTAAATAAGATTATATTTCATGCATACGATTAAAATA